CTAACAAGACAAATAATCTTACACATTCTGAAAACAAGATGATTATTCTTACACAATCAGTTCTTGTTTAGTAAATCAGTCTGAAAACAAGATCAAAAAGACTTTTTGGCTGATATAAGAGTTTAAAACATGGTAAGATGGACAGTTTTTGCAGTGGTATAGCCGCAGCAGCACTGGACTGGTAGTGGGAGGGGGACGGTGTTGTGTAACAGTTTTTAAATTGAAACTAGTTTAAAATGAGTGTGTCAGAACTCACCAGTCTCTCCATCTCCTGCTCTCGGAGTCTCTCCTCTCTCTGACGTCGGTGGTACTCCAGCAGCTCGTCTTCATTGTCGCTGATTTCTGTGATGCTGTTCTTTCTCTCTCTCATTCCTGGGTGGGGTCTCCCTGAAGACGTCTTCCTCTGGGTCCTGGGGCTGGCTACAGGGGATGAACCAGGCAGGGAGCCCAGACTGTAGGCAGGTGACAGAGGGTTTCCACTGCTTCCCTTGCGTACGCCCACACCACTGTTCACCTCCATCATCACAGAGGTAGGAGATGGACTGCGGGCCCTCATCCCTCGGCTGCAGGATGCTTCCTCTGCTGTGGATCCAGTTTTGCGGCGAAGCCTGGGACTCTCTGGGACAAACCTGCCCAGACTTGAGGGGCTCTCTGGGGTTCTCAGCGTAGGGATTGTTCCTGGAAGAGCTCCTGGAAGAACTGGAACCCCTCTTCGAGCTAAGGAGGGACTGAGAGGAGGCAGCTCTCTCATACTACTGCTTCCTGCACCGCCACCATTCAACTCCAAGTTCCTCCTGGCCAGGCGGGGGCTCTCGGGGGTCTGCAGCAAACGAGGATGCTGCTGGAGTGGAGATCCTTGGATGATATGAACAATGGGGTCGAGGGGAGGCTGAAAGGCTCTGCTGGGTGGAGACAGCTGCCTGGAGGGGCTGGAATTCAGGGAGCGATCTGCTGGAGGGGCCTGCTCCCTGAAAGGACTGGCAGGCCTTTCCTGGAGCACCGAGGTAGTCTTGGTCCTGGGACTGGACAGAGCCGGGAATTTGGGAATGACTCTGGGACTGCTTGGCACAACATTTCTACCACTGAGAGACTCACTGGAGGACAACAGAGAGATCTGCAGAGGGCTCTCAGACTCCTGGTTGAGTCCTCTGAGGTTTGGTTTGGGGCTTGGAGGAGCTTCTGCTGAGATCTTCCTCTGCAGCCTGGGGCTTTCCTGGACCTTTGGGCCCATGCCAGTGCTGCTATAGTTAGGCAGTATGGTCCGTGGGTGAAGTGGAGGCTGGGTGGTAAAGTTGTAGCTGGAAGAGCGTGTAGGCACTGGTGGCAGAGAAGAGCTCTGGTCCTGGGGTCCTCCACCAGGAGACGGGCTGGTAAAGCTCCCACTGCTGGCTGCTGAGGGGGAGGAGAGGGGGGAGAAAGGAGGTGATGCATTTTCATAGCTGGAGCCCACAGACATGGCCCCCGGGCTGGTAGGAGGGGATAGCAGATGCCTCCCCCCTCCATTGACTACAGGTGACAGGGAGGAGTGGGAACTGGACTGGACTCCAGGAGGTTTTTTAGCCTCTGATGAACAGGGCTCAGGATCTTGGTCATCCAGGACTAAAGAATCCATGATCTCCTGGAGGTCCTTCTCAATGGAGCTGACGATCGCACTGTGCTCAGACTGGACTCTTTCTCCAGGAGTCGGGGGAGACTGGAATGGCCTGGCCCGGTGATTCCCATTGAGCAAACTCTCAGTGTCTGCTGGGTCAAAGAGACAGAGAGCAAACATGAACTCTGAGGTACACAACCGCTGTACTTCTTTCACTTTACTTCAAACTAACTCTGAGGTACACAACCGCTGTACTTCTTTCACTTACTTCAAACTAACTCTGAGGTACACAACCGCTGTACTTCTTTCACTTTACAGACTTCAA